AACCCAAAAACTATTTTAATGGGTGGAAAGGGAAAAAGAGGGTTAAAAAAGTTTTTGGGTTGAAATGGTATAAATATATTTGTTGGGGCTAATTTTTATGGTCAAAAGTCAATAAAAGAAGGAGATAAGAGATGAAGGGGTATGGTGAAATCCTTAAGGGTTTCTTTATGCCGCTTGAAATAAAAACAGAATGAGGGTCTACCATGAAATTATATATATATATATATATTTGTTGGGGGGAGGGGGTTGGGTCGATCAGCAACAAAAGTTGCATACAACGAATAAAGCATAACGTGTTCATAAGAAACAAATTAAAAACTGCATGAAACAGCCATTATGTGCATTGGGATGTCAAGAAGATTGGGGAGAAATACTCTTTTATACCACTGTTTTTCATTACACTAAAGGGCCGTTTGGATACCTGAAAATATATTGTCTGTTAAATATATTACTGACGTAATACATTATTACGTAATACATTACCTGTAAATGGATTGTTACTGTTTGGGTAGTATTTAGATGCAACCTGGGAAATACATTGTTATTGTTTGGCTATGTATGGAAGAAATATAAGAAATGCATTATCAACATTATACCAGCACGTGCCTATAAACTATCATTTCTTTTTTTTTTGTCACAAAATTCCACTAAGATGCAGAATTATCATTTATTTCTTTTTTGTCACAAAATTCCACGGAATTAAAATCATCATCACACCATTCCAAAAAGATTTATAATAATAACATCATCACCATCCCAAAAAGATTTTCTAATAATAACTTGTATCATTTTACAGTCATCATGACACCATTTCCTACTTATGCGTTTGGCACTTGCATAGAATCACATGTTTTCTAACATGATATTGGTTTCAACATGATAAGTCATTGGAACAATATGATTGGAATAACAAGATTTTATTATGATAAGCCTTATTTTATTTATTTTTTATAAAAGTCTTTCAAATGTCTCTCTATATAATTTCAAATAAACAATAAATTTATGATACTAAATTCAAAATCTCTATGATACGAGTTAAAAAATGGGAAGAAGTTTAATTAGTAAACTAAAAGGTTTGGTAATTGCAGTATAAAATTTAGAGGTATTGGAGGAGACTAAAGAAGTATGTTATTTCAATTGAGATTTAGTAATCTCTTATGAGTATTATGTTGTGTAAAATTTTTTATTATGATTGTATTGTGTAATTTATCATTGATTACTGATTTTTATTTTTATTATTTTTGTTTTTATATGACAGCTGATGCCTTCAGATAGGATTCTGTTTTGTGAAAGTTTTTATTATGATGTGTTGTGTAATTTATCATTGATTACTGATTTTTATTTTTATTATTTTTGTTTTTATATGACAGCTTATGCCTTCAGATAGGATTCTGTTGTGTGAAATTTTTTATTATGATTGTGTTGTGCAATTTATCATTGATTATTGATTTTTATTTTTATTATTTTTGTTTTTGTTTTTATATGACAGCTGATGCTTTCGGATGAGGGGACGAGCTTAAAAAGGGATGGATCACCTAGTTAGTATGAAGAGAGAGGGCTTACTAGATAAGATTTTTTTAATCAAGGATAGGATAGGAAAAAATGTATGCAATTCCCTAAAATTAACTGGTCAATCCCGTAATGGATTTCCTGATTTTTGGGGAAATCTCGGGTAATCTCTTTTTATTTCCTTACGATTAAGTGTAGCCAAACACTAGAAATACCATATTTCCTTGTAATCTATTGTCATGTAATAGATTTCCAAGTACCCAAACGGCCCCTAAATGTTACCCAGGTTAGCCCACATAATTTTGATTTAGTCAACTCAACTTGTACCCTATAACTGCACTTCAATAAGATTCGGTAAAATGAGATTCATGAGTTGTAAAAAGTGGTCATTCAGGGCATCAACCATATACTAATTTTCAGTTGCATTCTACTCAGAAAATTGCATTTCAAGCACATATAATGGACACGTAATGATACTCCGGGCACGGTAGTCACAACATAGGCAAAGTACCACTAAAGCATGGAAAGCAAATTATGCATTAGGCTCATTAGCATGACCATAGTGCTTCATTTTTACATGGGAATATATCATTAAAATGGTCAAATCACCTGAAAAAACCAATAAGGTGGTTAAATAATCAATAGTTACAATAAACTGATTAGTTTTTAAAAATCTTTCCGTTAAAGTACCACCTCAAGTATTATGTTAAAAAACCCAAATTGCTCTTGTTCCGGGTTTGCAATCCTAAACCAAAGAAAGAATTTTGGTAATTTGACCCACTTAAGTTATTTGAACCAAATGACCTAAATACCCTTGTTCATTCTAGATTCCAAACGTAAACATGTTTTTCCATTAAAAATCTTGTTTTCGATTTGGAAACTAAAACAAGCAAGGGAATGTAGGTAATTCAGCCCTACTTAAGTTACCCAAACCAAAAGGCATAATACTCTGCTTCTTCTAGGGATTTTTGTCAATGAAACACATGATCTGGGTTGCGATATTGAGATCATTCGCCTGGAGTAACTTGAGTGGCCAAACTCCCAAAATGTGAGCTTATTCAGGCTTCCAAACCCAGAGAAGGGGGGTGTTAGGGTATTTTCTAATATATAGTTGAGGATGTACCTAAGTGAAATGATTTTCAAAACGTAACCACTTTGTTTTACATTGGTTGATTTAACCACCTCAATAAATTTTTAAGATGGTTTGACCCTTTATTGATATTTTCCCTTTCCATATTTGCAGTCACTCTCACAAAAACAGAGAAAGAAATGTATTATTTATGTCTAATGGTAAAAGAAATAGTGAAAACTAAGCTATTTACTTCTTTATATATTTGTTGTAGGAGAGAACTTAGTATGAATTTATTTTTTCTAAAAGGAAATTAAATAAAAATTTTTTTTGAGAAAAGTATGAATTGGTAGCCTACACAAAGATATACTAAGCTCTAGCTTTAACAAATTTTCTCTTAGAGGTAACAAAGTGCTTCTGGTAGGGTCTTTGGAACTTGGAAGACAACAATACCCTGCGGTACTAGAATGCAGCTATATATTCCTCTGTTTGCTTCTGAACATTTATTTCATTTATACAAAACTGACAGCCATGAAAAAAAAAAAGGGGCCAAGTTTTCCATGTCAATTCATAATATAACCAGCTCAGTCCATCAATGCTCTACACCTCTACCTAAAGTTGTCTCTAATTTTATTACCATGAAAGAATGTGTACATATTCATACTTCACAGAAATTCAGCTCAAAGACATTGGACAAACACTTTTTACATGCTTAGGTGCCGCTTGGCTACATGATCTACATTAAAAATATGAGAAATCCAACTATCTTGAATAGTTATGCAGATACTATCTAAACTAAAGAGAATTCTACACTTACAGGACAAAAACAATGAATGAGATACTGAAGTCATGAAAATTGAATGTGCCCTTTGCCAATTGGAACTCTCAAGCAGATGGTCAAGCGCCATTGATAGATCTCCATAATATTGATAGTACACTGCCTGCATCAATCAAGAAACAGGACATGAACAAGACAGAACCAACAAAACAAGACTCTATACCAAGAGGAGGACAGAAACTCTATATACAAAGGCATCTACGACTTCTAAAAATGAATGCTGAAATGTGAAGTAGGCAGTAAAACATAAATAATAATGCTTCGATGAAAACTGACAAATAATTATTCAATGCAAAGAAGCATACCAAAGCCTCATGCATCCATGCAGATGGAATCCCTAAATCTTCAATAAATTTGCGTTGCATTTCATGAGAACTCCATGTCTCACAATACTGGAACAAAATTTCCCTGATGATGCTAGCATGCAGATGTGGATGATCATCATGCTGGGGCATGTGGAGAACAACATAGATAGCCAAATGACACTGTCCCAAACATAGCAGCTGAGAAACAAAGCTCATGTCCAGCACATAAAAATCTTTATAATCCAAAGCACCAATAGCTTCCAAAACGGAACGCTGATGCCAAATCATATGATAGTCCAATGCATCATAGGTTGATGAAGGGGAACTGAACATAGTTTTTAGAATTGCCGTGCTGTTTGCTCTGTTAGCATGAAGAAGCATAAGATAGTAGGTCAAGTCAAAATGGCCACCAAAGTTCAACCCAGTAGCTTCTTCAAGAGGACCTTCATCAACATAGAATGGGATGGGATATGGGGCTCTTCCTTCATGAAGAAGCTGCTGATAAGTTTGAACGATAACGGGCAGTGAAGTGTCAGGGGGTAGGTGATACCACATCAACAACCCAAGGTGCCTTTTCCAATCCAGTTCCGAATCGAGAAGAGCACCATGTATATTTCCAGAGAGTAACTCATATAACTTCAACCTTTCCTTCTCAATGAAGTTGAAGTCCAGCCCATCCATCTTCCAAACATCGATTTGTGCAGTCATATCAGAACGATTCACCATTGACCCACCAGCTTGGCTCAGCAAACAAGCCATTCTAACATCTCCCTTATCAACAGCCAATTCAACAGCGGCACCCAATTGCCGCCCCGTCAAGAGAGAGAATATGGTTTCCAAATATCGTCCCTCATTCAGACGACTCATCTCTTCTTGTACACGGTGGCAAACACTCTCTTGCAACCAAGAACTGAAATCTGACCTCCGAATAAGTGGCTCCGCTTCTGACTCAACATCTGGATAATCTACCCTTTTGTCAAGCATCATGTCCATAGCATCATCCATCTCCGCTGACTCTGAAGAACCTTTTGCTTCTCTCTCTGAAAATAGAACATTTATCAACTCCCAAGCCATGACTTGATGCATCAATATGGTACGCTCTGCTCTAGATAAGCCCGAGACATCGAGCTGCCTTTCGACAAATGCTACATGACCCCTGCAAACCTCAGGAAGCCTTGAACGGCTGCATACAAGCTTCTGTAGCTTCAATTTGAATGAACCCGTTTCGATTTCAGTGATATCTTGGCGTAACGACCTGTGAAGCCTCAATGGAGAATCAAAACGAAGATTGATAAGATCCTCTTTGACCTTTTTATCCTCATCTCTGACTGTTGCATCAAGTGCAACTTTTTCAATGTGAATTATAGATGATAGTCCTTTGCTGGCATTGACGTCACATATGGGTGTACCACTATGAACAAGTAAACCATTTGGGCCCCACCCGACACGAAACGACCTTCCCATAAAAAGCCCAGCATCTGCTATGATGTTGGAACGGGTACCAATAGGGGTTTCATGTTTTGGGTCCAGCTTAAAGCCCTTAACTTTTGTTGTCTTTGTGGGTGTGCCCTTGTTTTGCCCAATCATGAGAATGTTTCTAGGAGGACTTGCACTCCCTGATTTTGAAATGTAGTCTAACAAAGCTTGCTTATTCGGCAAAGAAGGGCTTAAAGGACTCAATATCTTAAATGGACTTGAGTTACTTGATGTGTTATTTGGACTTACATTATGGCTACTCTTTTTAGCTGAAAGTTGCAAGACAGATCCATGGACCCCACCATCAGCACCTTCTTTCCTAGATGACCTAGTTTTGTGCACAAGTGACCCATTTTCATCTTCATTTTCTTCTCCATTTTGAAACATCAACATCCTCATTTCTTGCATCTTTAGAGGATCAAGCCCGAGATGTGCAGGTAGAGAATGAACTAGGGCACTTCCAGAAGGACCAGCTGATGGGGACACATCCATTCTCATCTCATCTTCTTCATTTACATCTTGTGACACTTCCTTAACAATAGGACCAAGTTCTTGTTGGTTATTGTTGTCAATGGGCACCATATCAATGTCATCTTCAGCATCAAGTCCAAATCTGCTGAAATGTGGGACCAAGAACTTCCATTGATGGCTAGATGGGTCATAAGAGATGAAACGAGCCCCCTGCCTCTCATTAACACCCTTCAACTTCATCCTGAGCTTCTCTAATTCCAGATTGTTTTGACCACCAATAACCTCATCTTTACCCACTTTCACTTTTAGTACTAAGGTAACTTCGGCAGCTTTGTTAAGGCCCATGCCTATCAAAGGCTTTCCATAGCCATCTTCATAAACCACCACCTCTTGCTGGTTAAATTGAATAACTTGATCTAGTTTAAGCCATCTCACATCAGTTTCTCCAAGAAACTTAACAACTCCATAACCCAACCTTCCAACCGTAAAATCTTGAACTCTTTGACAATATCCCGAGTCCACACATTCTCTGGCAGCCAGTTCCGACAATGAAGGCACTGTATAATAGTCACAAGCTAGAAGAACTGGTAGTATAGATTCCATCTCACTGGCATTTCGAGATACCAGGACTTCTGATGTTTTTCTTTTCTTCATGGGGCACATCATGATGACGTTTCAAGTACCAAAATCTACATGGAAACCACATAGTTATTTCTCAGGCCTGAACTAAGAATAAAGCAACTTGAACTAGATATAACCTATCTATTGTTCTGAAATGGCTTTGGGACTGAACTTCATTCCACACCTGTTTTAATAAGAATACTTTGATGAAAACTGGACAAATAGGCTGCCTTGGCCATTTTTCTTAATATGGTAATTCTTATAATGTTGTCATAATGGTTGCATCCTCACAATTGATGAGGCATGTCCACACTATGCTGAACAAATTGGCTGCCTGAATCCATGATTACCTATCAAAAGCAGAGGAAAGAAAAATTGTCAATCACCACAATAATTTAGAAATAACCATAACTTTAAAAAATATTACAGTTAAAACGGTTTCAAAAAAGAAAAAATAAAGAGAATGCCCAACTCTCGTATAAAGTGTAAAATCTAAGGTGTCAATAAAAAATTTTGTTCGGCACCAAGCCATGATGGGTTTCATAGCAGTTTTATTCACAATAGTCAGGTATTAGTTGGATCACCACCGAATAACATAGTAGCTCCCTGTTAAACAATTATAACAGACAAATAATAAACTAATTGCATAGCACAGTCTTAACTTCCATGCAAAACTAGTGATTTATGGAGAATGAGAGTATGAAAATTAATGAAGAATTACTTTTCCCACTAATACAATTAAACAAGACCCACTCCAAGCAGTTCCATTTAATATAACTGACCAACTAATGACTGTCATTAATATCCAATTCACAATGCTTGTGAAGGAACTCATTCCATTTCTTTCAGGGACCAATATATTAAACCTAGCAAAATCACAAAATTTGAAGCCCATAAACCCTAGAATATTATAAACACTAGGTTACCATGCCGCCTTGGAAACACTATGGAACTTACCAAGCATCAAAACCCTAGATCCAGCTTCAACTAAAAGCAGATTACTCAGACAAAATAAGGAAGGAATTTAAGGAAAAAAAACAATGAAAACTCAAAATGAAAAATCAAGAAAAAAAAAAAAAATACACTAACAAAATAAAAGCACTATAATTATACCAAATGCACAAGATTCAATATTGAAATGAAAACAAAAAGTATAGAAATAGAAGCAACTCACCATTGTTTGATATATAACAAACCCTAGATTGAATCCACGACTGAGTCTGAAGCCAAGGTTGAGTACCTATGAGCTTACCGTGACTCGCTCTCGCAAAATATGAGCGCACTCAACAGAGGGCTAAAATCGTCATTCAATGCACCATACAAAGCGAGATGTTTTAGATATTTTTTGAATTTGGATAAAAAATTAAGTAAATTTGTAAGTTTTTCGTAAAATTCTCTCGCCAAACCAAAAACTTACAAATTTACTAAAATGCCTGCATTTTTTATCCAAATTCCAAAAATATCCAAAACATCTCGCTTTGTATGGTGCACTGAATGAGATTTTAGCCCTCTACTGAGTGAGCTCATATTTTGCGAGAGCGAGTCAAGGTAAGCTCACAGGTACTCAACCATGGCCTCAGTCTCAGTCGTGGACTCAATCTAGGGTTTCTTATATATCAAACAATGGTGAGTTCCTTCTATTTCCATGCTTTTTGTTTTCATTTCAATATTGAATCTTGTTCATTTGGTATAATTATAGTGCTTTTATTTTGTTAGTGCATTTTTTTCCTCTGATTTTTCATTTTGAGTTTTCATTGTTTTTCTTCCTTAATTTCTTCCTTATTTTGTCTGAATAATCTGGTTTTAGTTGAAGTTGGATCTAGGGCTTTGATGCTCTGTAAGTTCCATAGTGTTTTCAAGGTTGCATGGTAACCTAGGGTTTATGGGCTTCAAATTTAGTGATTTTGCTAGGTTTAATATATTGGACCCTGAAAAAAATGGAATGAGTTCCTTCACAAGCATTGTGAATAGGACATTAATGATAGTCATTAGTTGGTCAGATATATTAAATAGGAACTGCTTGGAGTGGATCTTGTTTAATAGTATTAGTGGGAAAAGTAATTCTTCATTAATTTTTATGCCCTCATTCTCCATAAATCACTGGTTATGCATGGAAGTTAAAACTGTGCTATGCAATTAGTTTATTATTTGTCTCTTATAAGAGTTACTATGTTATTGGGTAGTGATCCAACTAATACCTGACTATTGTGAATAAAACAGCTATGAAACCCATCATGGCTTGGTGGCGAACAGAATTTTTTATTTACACCTTTGATTTTACACTTTATACGAGAGTTGGGCTTCCATTCTCTTTATTTTTTCTTTTTTGAAACCGTTTTAACTGTACTATTTTTTAAAGTTATGGTTATTTCTGAATTTTACAGATTGGGGTGTTGTGAAAAATCTGTAAAATCGCCAAATGGACACAGAAAAAACAGTTCGCAACTGAGCTCTATTTTTTTTGTAACTGAGCTCTGATCTATTGGGTTGTTGCGAAAAATATGTAAAATCACCAAATAAACACAAAAAAAAGGACTCAGATTTTGTTACAAACTGTTTGAATAATCAGTTTGTAACTAAGCTCTATTTTTTTTGTAACTTAGCTCTAATCTATTGGGGCTGTTGCTAAAAATCTGTAATCTCGCCAAATAAACACAAAAAAAAGGACTCAGATTTTATTACAAACTTTGAATAATCAGTTTGTAATGGAGCTCTATTTTTTGTTGTAACTGAGCTCTGATCTATTGGGTGGTTGCGAAAAATCTGTAAAATCGCCAAATAAACACCAAAAAAAAGGACTCAAATTTTATTACAAACTGTTTGAATAATCAGTTTGTAAC